GATATTCTCGTCGAACCTCGTAAATTTAGTGTGTTCTCTCCTTTATTGTTTTTATTAGGTTCTTTTTCCATTGTGTTTCAATATTCAATAGTTTGACAGATTTATCCGTTGTGTAACCTTTGGTGGTTTTAATCTTGACATTTTAGGTCAATTTTAAAACTACGTTTGTGTGGGAAATAACTCGTTTTTCCCAACAATTGGTATCAGAGCTTCGGTTGAGGTTATCCTGGTGGTTCCGTTGCTGAAAAGATACAGTTCGTGATATTGAATATTGTTCGTTAGAATTAAAATGCCAAAATACGGATCAGTTGAGACATCAAGCTCTTCATCTGGACCGGTAAGGAGGGTGATGTCAAATGCAAATTTCTCGGTGGAGTTGTTCTATGGATCCAGTCATTTTGGCATGTGGCAAGGCGATGTGTTAGACACTTTATTCCAACAAGGTCTAGACATCGCCATTGAGAAAGAAAAACTCGAATATATGGAGGAGAAAGAATGGGGAACAATCAATCGTTTGGTGTGCAGCACGATTCGATCTTGTCTTTCCAGGAAGCAGAAGTATGGCTACAAGAATGAGACTTCTGCAAGTAATATATGAAAAGCTTTTGAGGAAAAATTCCTGAAGAAAATCTCTCAAAATCGTCTCCACATGAAGAAAATATTGTTCAGATTTGATTATCAACTAGGCACCAGTATGAATGAACACATCACTGCGTTCAATGAGCTAGTGGAAGACTTATTGGGCATGGATGAATCCTTCAAAGATGAAGATTTAGATTTGATGTTGTTGTCATCTCTTTCAGATGAATTTGAGCACATTGAGACAACGTTACTTCATGGTAAGGATAATGTTACCCTTAAAGATGTAACTGTTGCTTTGTATAGTTATGAACTCAGGAAGAAAACCAAGAAGGAGAGCAAGTACGAAGCAGCGGAGGCCATGGTGGCAAGAGGTCGCTCGAAAAGTCATAAACCAAAGTGGAGAGGGAGATCAAAGTCGAAGTCCAAACTGGAAAAGATGAATGTGTCTTTTGTCATGAGAAAGGCCATTGTAAGAAAGATTGTCCGAAGCTGAAGAATAAAGGAAAAGTTGCTCCAGATGCATGTGTTGCAAAGCATGATGCACATGACTCTGACATATCATTGGTTGCTTCATCATCAACATTTCATTCTGATGAGTGGATATTAGATTCGGGTTGCACCTATCATATGTCCCCTAATCGGGAGTGGTTCTCCGATTTAGTGGAACTAAATGCATGAGTTGTTTATATGGGCAATGACAATGCCTGTAAAACTGTTGGGATAAGTTCAATTCGATTGAAGAATCAAGATGGATCAACCAGAGTTATGACGGATGTCCGATACGTGCCTAGTTTGAAGAAAAATCTTATCTCGTTGAGAGCCTTGGAATCCAAAGGCTCAGTAGTCACTATGAGAGATGGAGTTTTAAAAGTCACATATGGCGCACTTGTGATGATGAAGGGCATCAGGAAAAATAATTTGTATTACTACCAAGGTAGTACAATTATTGGAGCAGTTGCAGCAGCTTCCGGAGGTGATGATTTGGATGCAACCCAGTTGTGGCATATGCGGTTGGGACATGCTGGAGAGAAATCCTTGCAAATTCTAGCAAAGAAAAGATTGTTGAAAGGTGCAAAGGCTTGCAAATTGAACTTTTGCGAGCATTGTGTTATGGGAAAGCAGAAGAGAGTGAAGTTTGACACCACTATACATAATACAAAAGGTATTGTAGATTATATTCACTCGGATGTATGGGGTCCTTCAAATACATCGTCTTTGGGAGGAAACCATTACTTTGTAACTTTTGTAGATGACTTTTCCAGAAGAGTTTGGGTGTATCCGATGGAGTCTAAAGATGAAGTGCTTCAAATTTTACTGAAATGGAAAAATATGATCGAGAACCAGACTGGTAGAAAGATCAAACGTCTTAGGACGGACAGTGGAGGGGAATATAAAAGTGACTCATTCTTTGACGTTTATCATGAGTATGATATTGTTCGACACTTCACTGTTAGACCTACACCACAACAGAATGGGGTGGCAGAGCGTATGAATCAAACACTATTAGAGAAAGTTTGATGTATGTTGTCTAATGCTGGGTTAGGCAAGACATTTTGGGCTGAGGCTATGACATATGCTGGCCATCTCATTAATCGTCTGCCGTCATCAGCGATAGGAGGAAAAACACTATTGGAGGTATGGTCTGGAAAACCTGCTACTAATTATGATTCCTTACTTGTATTTGGATCCACTGCTTATTATCGTGTGAAGGAATCCAAGCTTGATCCGAGAGCAAATAAGGCTCTCTTTATGGGAATCACTCATGTAGTGAAGGGATTTCGCCTTTGGTGTTTAGCCACCAAGAAGATAATTTGTAGCAGAGATGTTACCTTTGATGAATCTGCCCTAGTAAAGAAGGTAACAAGTGAAGCTGTCCAGACAAGTAGTACTCCGCAGCGGTGGAGCATACTCCAAAACAGGTGAAGTTTCAGCAGATGATGATCCCAGAAGTTGATGCAGTTGATTATTCAACTCCAATAGAAGAATCAGAAGATGAAGAGGTTCAAACCCAAGAACCATTGGAGATACCAGAACCACTTGCAGTTACAAGGCCAATGAGAGAAATTCGTAGACCTGCTCGATTTGTTGATATGGTGGCCTATGCTCTTCCAGTTGTTGATGATGACATCCCTATTATTTACCAAGAAGCAATACAAAGCTTGGAAAGTGATAAGTGGAAAAGTGTCATGGATGAAGAAATACAATCTCATAGCAAGAAAGATGGATCTCATAGCAAGAAATATGTTCGCTACAAGGCACGGTTGGTAGCTAAAGGCTACGCACAAAAGGAGGGAATCAACTACAATGAAGTATTTTCCCCTGTTGTGAAGCATTCCTCCATTAAAATATTGTTGGCCTTGGTAGCACAGTTGAATTTGGAGCTAGCTCAACTTGATGTAAATACGGCTTTCTTGCACGGTGATTTAGAATAGGAGATCTATATGACTCAGCCAGAAGGATACAAATATGGTGGTTGTGAGAAATGGGTTTGTAAGCTGAACAAATCTCTATATGGATTGAAGCAATCTCCGAGGCAGTGGTACAAGCGATTTGATAGCTTTATGAGGAGGCAAAAGTATACTAGAAGCAAATATGATCATTGTGTGTATTTGCAAAAGCTCAAAGATGGATCTTTCATTTATCTTCTCTTGTATGTTGACGATATGTTGATCGCTTCGAAGAGTCAAAAGGAGATAAACAAATTAAAGGCTCAGTTGAATCAAGAGTTTGAGATGAAAGATCTTGGTAAGGCTAATAAGATTCTTGGTATGGAGATAAACAGAGATAGACAGAGAGTGAAGCTTTGTTTAACACAGAAACAAGATCTGAGAAAGGTATTACAATGTTTTGGCATGAATGAAAATACCAAACATGTAAGTATCCCATTGGCTTCTCATTTGAAACTTAGTTCTCAATTATCTCCTAAAACTAACGAAGAACGAGTGTATATGACAAAAGTTCCATATGCTAATGCAGTTGGGAGCTTGATGTATGCAATGGTGTGTACGCGTCCTGACATTTCACAAGCAGTTGGAGTTGTGAGCAGGTACATGCATGATCCTAGATAAGCATATTGGCAAGCTGTGAAATGGATTCTACGGTATCTCCAACAAACCGTGGATATTGGTTTAGTTTTTGAACAGGATGAAACACTTGGTCAGTGTGTGGTTGGATATGCTGATTCCGATTATGTTGGTGATTTGGATAAGCGTCGATCAAATATTGGGTATTTTTTTACTCTTGATAAAGCCCCAGTAAGTTGGAAGTCTACATTGCAATCTACGGTGACCTTTTCTACTACAGAGGAAGAATACATGGCAGTTTCAGAGGCTGTAAAGGAAGCAATTTGGCTTAACGGGTTGATGGAAGACTTGGGAGTTGTTCAAAGTCACATTAGTCTCTATTGTGACAGTCAGAGCGCTATTCACTTAGCGAAAAATCAAGTCTACCATTCAAGGACTAAGCATATCGACGTAAGGTATCACTTTGTGCGAGAGATCTTTGAAGAAGGAAAGATTCTACTTCAGAAAATTGCGACATCAGAAAATCCTGCAGAATTGATGACCAAGGTGGTAATAGTAATCAAGTTCAATCATTGTTTGAACTTGATTAACATCCTGAAAGTATAAACACCTTCGAGTGTGTGGCGCTTGTGAGCGCAATTAAAGGCACTACAAATTTGGGGAGTTGAAGAAGTTGAGTAGGCTTGGTAATTTCAAGCCAATGTGGAGATTTGTTAGATTTTTCTAGAAATTAAGTTGACAAGTTGGAAATTTCATCTTGGTTGGTGGCCAACTTATTGGAAATTTCATCTTGGTTGGTGGCCAAACTTTGAACATGTGAATTTCATATTTGGTGGCTAACTTGTACACATTGGAAAATTCTTTGGTAGGTGGCCAAACTTTGAACATATTGTTCTTGAAACTTAACTATAAATAGGCCTAAGTATTTCCATTAGAAATCATCCCAAAAACAAGTTCTCTCTTCCTCTTGTATTCTTCATTCTCTCACTTTGGGAATTCTAAAGAATTTCATTTGTTGTAATATTGGCGATATAGTGAAGTTATCATCCCGGTGTGGTGCCCGAGGAGTAGACGATATTCTCGTCGAACCTCGTAAATTTGGTGTGTTCTCTCCTTTATTGTTTTTATTCGGTTCTTTTCCATTGTGTTTCAATATTCAATAGTTTGACAGGTTTATCCGCTGTGCAACCTTTGGTGGTTTTAATCTTGACATTTTAGGTCAATTTTAAAACTACGTTCGTGTGGGAAATAACTCGTTTTCCCCAACATGACTTTCTCTTCAAGAACCCTGGACATTGAAATTATTGCATGATCATATAGGTTACACAACAACCCCATCTGCATTTTTATTCATAAACCAAGTCTTTCCGTATCATTTGTCATAAACATTAAACAAATGTGACCGGTGTGATTGCCAACTCAGAAATCAATGGCATACCATTCTCCAAGACCAAAAATGACATTTTCCCGGTCGTTGGTGCCGCTCCGCTTCTAACAGGCGACAACATCAACGACATCCAAAGCTTTAACAACCTTATTAACCGCAACGATGTGCCCTTCCTAACAGGCCTAACCGGTGCCCAAACCAACGGCGTCCTACAAAACACGGGCAACAACGACAACGTTCTCAACTCCGGCAACCAACCTTTCATCACTACCGGACAGCTCCCACCCGAAACTCTTCAAAGGCTCATGTTTGGGACCATAACCGTCATCGACGATGAATTAACCGAAGCACATGAGTTAGGGTCAGCTGTGCTAGGCAGAGCACAAGGATTCTATTTGGCTAGCTCCTTGGATGGTAACAGCCAAACCATTGCCTTGACAGTTGTGTTGCATGGAGGTGAACAAGAAGTCGAGGACACCATTAGTTTCTTCGGTGTTCATTGGACCGTGTCGCCCGAATCGCAGATCGTGGTGGTCGGTGGAATCGGGAAGTACGAGCACGCCAAAGGGTACGCCTCGATCGAGACCCTTCTTCACCAGGAGGATCAGTACATAACCGATGGTGCGGATACGATGTTGCATTTCAATGTTTACCTCACCGAGTGATGATTATGTGTGAAGCATTTGATACTGAAAATTTTATAAGAATCTCTAATGTTTTTTATTTGGTTGTTATTTGTGAAATTGTGATAGTTCAATCTGATGTCCTTTTTTTTCTTTAATGATAAAATTATTATTTTCACCGATTAAATAAGACGTATGATATTAAACTAATAAGAGACCTCAGATAATTGATTTTTCTCTGTATTTTTCGTATTCTCTCATGTTCAAATCATAGAACTCAAACTTTGACTCTGACCTCGTTTCAAAAATAACTAATTGTGATTGTTTATCTAATTCAGAAGGAATGAACTGTTAAACACAATTACAATCACCATCCTCCAATGTTATAAATAAACTACTATTTTTTATTTTAAAAGTTTTATATTTTTTAGATTTTAAAACATTATTTTATGATAAACGTATTAGTTCTTGAATGGATTAGATGAGTAAAATATATAAACTGTTATTAAATTATGCTGAAATGATTTTTTATCATTAAAGTTTTAGGGTTATAAAATGGTCATTAAATTTATTAAATTGTTACAAAATAATTAATAATAATAATTTTTGATAAGTTTAATGTTTATTTTATAATAATTTAATGATTATTTTGTAATTGTTTTAAAAAATTAATAATTATTTTATAATTTCTAAAATTTCAGTAATCGACGAGTAGATTCTGTATAATCAAGAATAACATTGAAGAAATAAGTTCATTCCAAGTTTTTTCTCTGAATTTTCTAAATATAAGACAAACCAATTGTAGATTTCTCATTGTTTTTCAGATTCATAACAGTACAATTTTCCAAATATTTAAATCACACCAAATAATAGGAACCTTCATCTAATATGTAACATAAACAGTGAACTCTAGCACGGTCTCAAAGCCATCGGTCTCCTGCTGATGATTACTCGCCGGTAAAGTCTTCACAATGGCGAAACCTCTAGCATTGACATATTTCCCGGTACCGCCCATGATAGACAAACGTGACTCCGATACGCCGGTCCGATGAAACCCGAAGAAGCTAAGTGTGTCAGCCAGGATTTTAAATCACGGTCCGAAAACGTGATAGCGCTCGTGAAATAGCGGTTTCGCCGTCGTCCGAGTTACCCGCTACACCCGTAATAGAGCTCAATAGTGCCTGCAACGGCCGCAATAGCGCCCGCGACGGCCACAATCACGGTAAACTCGAAATGACCGAAAACGCGACCGCGATCGCGATTTGAAACCATGGTGTCGGCATAGCGTCCACTCTGGAACATGGCGGTAAATGCCATCGTTTGACTGGTTCCATCGACCGAACTAGCCACATAGAACCCTTATGCCTTGCCAACAAACCCTGAGCCTAGCTCATGTCCAATTGTCAGCTCGTCGTCGATGACGGTCATGGTCCCGAACATGAGCTTTTGGAGTGCAGAACCTGAAGGAAGTTGGCCACCAACAAAGGTCGGGAATCCCCCATTGTTGTTGCTGCCGGCATTTTGCAGCATCGCTTGAGTGTTCCCACCGAGGCCGGAAAGCAACGGAACGTTATTGTTGTTTAGCAGACCAGTATTGCCACTGTTTTGGCTAATTCCATTGTTCACTGGGAGGTTTGCACCATTTGGTTAGGCAAATGGAAGTTGACCATTGAGTGCCGGGTTGCTGACCGCACCGGTGACCACTAGAGGAGACGGGTTCGACCCTCCGAGGATGTCGTGCATGAAGAAGGTCAGAGTGTGGTCAGGGTCAAGCACAGGGTTGGCAACATTGCCTCCAGTGGGAATGGGACCAGTGATTGCAGCCACACTAGGATTAGGCTGTGTGCCTGCTGGGGTGGTGGTCAATTGTGGTAAATTAGAAACAGGTGCCACAACCGGATTCAACGACAAATCCGAGAGGACTGCTCATCGAGCATTCTTGCTGAAGTGGAGAATGAAATTGTGAAAGAAGTACAGAAATGAGCTTGTATGTTTCCATAGCTGTAAAGTTCAGAAAGATTTGCTTCAGTATTTTTTCCTAAACGAATTGAAAGATATGCAAGTGTATGTATATATATATAGCTCTAGAAATGGAGTTGTTGTGTATATATATACATATGGATTTTCTTACCAAAAAGGCTTTTACCTGCAATAAAAAGTAGTCAACCATATTACATCCCTATTCATTTACATGTAACAAATTGCAGAATATGATTCTTTTCTTGCAGAGTTCTACACAGTCATCAATGGCTGCCCCCAAAGAAATTTACAGCAAATTGATCATATCATAATCTGGAAGGTGATAAGAACAGGAAAGAGCAAGAAAATACATGGAATCTGCCTTCTTTTTTCATTTCTTTTCCTTGTGGAACAAACATACAATAATAGGCATGGCAAAAACTAGCGTTTTTGCCGTAATCCCAACATATGAATGCATACATCTTGAGTTTTCACACCAATGCAAAGAATAAACCAAAAATTTTTCCTGCATATCTCTCTCACTTACCAAAATTTTTTCCTGCATATCTTTCTCACTTCCTCTTTGACATGCTAATGCGAGATTCGAATGAGAAAAATCAGAAGAAAAAAACGACTCGTTTTTGGTTTTGATGATGCACGTAAAAATGTGCCAAAACCATGAGGGGAAAACCATCTTTTAAAAGAAAAAAAAAAACTCTATAGGCTAACAATCTCTGCTGCTAGTTCATCAATCAATGAATTCTCTATTTCTGTAACGATTTCTTCAATATCGTATCCTAAGGATAACCATCCATCGTCTTTTCCGAAAACTTTCTCTGCTGAGTCCTTCTTTACTTCATTTTCGGCTTCGTTTTCTTGGCTAACCAACAACTTGTACAGCTCTTCCTCGATTTCTTTTGAGTTGTGCGGAAAGCTAAGCCTTCTTGCGACCGGTTTTGCCCACGTGGGATATCCTAACCATGGCTGCAGAATTTCCATTAGACTCGAATTTATGCGGTCGAAAAGTATCCTCCTCGTCGACCTCTTCCAAGATATCTATTCACCGTATTTCTTCTCTAGTGTCTCAAAAACCGACAGGCTTATTGGAGTTTCCAGAGAGGGCCATCTGTTAAAGAGTATATCCGGGTTTCTACTATGAAAACCTGCCTCGGTTAAGGCGTCAACCAAATAGGAGAAATCTCAACTCTCAGCAGCTCCAAACAACTTGGTTGGATATTCATTTTCATACTTCAAAGGCTCTTCTACTACATCATTTTCATTGTCACTCGATACAACCATCCCTGTTCCTTCCCAGTATTCTTCAATTGACTCCGATTTTAGAAATTCGAGTTGCCGCTTCACGTCTGTTAGACATGAGAACATAAAAGTTACAACAGATAAAATGTGGGGCAAAGAAATCAAGAGGTCAATGAATCCTTCTTTTTTACTAACCATTTAAGCTAGCGGTGACACTCGAAAAGCACTTAGACCTCAATGAATTCTCTTCTATGAACGGTGTTTCCAAAACTGAAACCGGACTGGGCTGATTAGCTGTCTCCGAGGTCACAAGAAAGTCGAGGTCTGTGCCGCACTCTTCGGATATTTTCATTGATACATCTTCCTGCAAGATTACAGAGAAATCCATGGTTTAGAGACAATGAATGGCTCAAAATTAAAGCCAAATCAAAAGAAATTAAAATTATGACGTCTCGATCACCAAGTACAGTGCACAAGACTGTAATGCACTTCCACCATATCAATGCAGATTATATACTAAATTTAGCAATGCAGGTTGATTAGTATACCTAAAATGCAATTAATACTAGTATTAGTTGGAAACTTAAACAACATTGAACCTGTTGACTCCAAGCATCAGGGATACAAAAAGAAGAATCACGGTCTTTCTCCGGCATAGCGCAATCCATTGATTCGATCTGGTGCTGGGTACGATTTCCAGTAGTCTTGGCAGCATCTTGAGTTTTTTCCACAAATAAAATATCAGAGACGATGCTTTGAGATGCAGCCGAGTACATTGATGACTCGGGTACCAGACAATCCTCTGTAGACACTTTCCTATACTTGATGTCATTCCATTGATCAACTAGGATGATGTCATCCATAGGGGTGATTTCGTTATCGGAATTAGAGTGAACGATATCATGTTTTAATGACATAGAAACCGTAGATTGAGACTGCTTGTTGTAGGATCCTGAGTTTCTTTGTTTCGGACAATCTTTCCGTCTTGACCAAGGAAACACTGACCTCGTATTCCTACACGAATCAACATGGAAAACTTTGGGAGTAGTCTTGGTTATAGGACTTCCAACAGGTGTAGAATACGATTGTGATCACGACTTTAGTAAGTCTCCAAATCCCCGGTTTTTCCAGCCATCTCTACTGCTAATGCCAAAAGGACCACGAAAGTTTGCATGTTTAGCATGATCGGGCAATGCAAGCATTTCACCAAGTGTTCTGCTTCTGCTCCTATCCCTAATTGCGTGTCCATTCTGCCGAAATTCTTTATTCATCCTCCATCTTTCCAAGATTTGCTGCTTTGCTTCCTGAGCCCCATATGATCCGTCTAAACCTGAACACAAGGGCTTGTACCATTCGTTCATCATGAACTCTGGCTCTTTTGTAAGACCTTGAGCACGACTGACTCCTAATCTTGGTGGCTCGAAAGAACTGTCGCTTAGACCATCCCTTGTTTTCCTGGTGATTTTCCTGTCAGTTCCAGAGGAAGGGACAGATCCACGGGCCTTCGAATTCACACCTTCGGAGAACTTCCTCTGCTTAACTTGAACATGTGAATTTCCTTTTCCTTGACCAAGGAACCCTTTGTATTTCTCCTCGGTCTCGGTATCGGTCTCTCCAGGCTTTGGTTTCAAAATGACAGTTTTTCTAGATGGAGGACTTCTTTCATTGTTTGATTCCAGATGAAATCTGGGACCAATAGAAGTACCAGCATGTCCGTATCTCCTTTGAGAATGCTCGGTGATCCGATAATCCGGTTTCTCGAAACAATTTTCGAAACAACCCTTTGTAGAATCCACAAATCCTGACCCTTTGAGATGCATTCGTTCTCTTTCCTTTGCAGTAAAAGAATCATCCTTGAACTCCTCCTCTTCAACGCCGAACAAGGCTGATCGACGTTCATTGAATGACCGCTTCTTCGAAGCACCAATCGAATCAGCTTTACGCAGATAATCCTACGAGAGCACTCTTTGGAGCTTCTTCTGCTTATTGCCATTGGCAGGTGGCTGGGATTGAAGTTCATCAAGCCCCATTAATCTCGCAATCACACTCGATGTAACCGGTTTCAATTCCGAGTTCTTTGACATTTCGTCTACAATTACTCCCCTCATTAGCATTCCCAGAATGCAAAAAATGCCATCTGCAAAGGGAAACCCATAGATATTCATGAAGCTGGCATATGAGCATCTGATAAAGAAACAAAATCATTGGAAACAACTTTTCTTTACCAAAGTAATAATTAGAACATAGCATGAAACCAAAGGGTAAAGACCAACCCCATCGTTCATGAAAAAGAGAGAAAATTTCAATACTAAATCAAAATCAAAAAAGAAAAAGAAAGAACAGCTCTTTCCTCGATAAATAAAAGAAATCTCAGGAAAAGAAAGATCTGACCCTTTGTTCTTTCCTAAGAAAAGTTCTGAATCTGAAGCAATTTCATCAGTTCAATCTCAGAGTGATTTTGTAATTCCCCCACAGGATTGTTCAATGATTATAATTAAAGAGATTTAAGTTTAAAGTAATCGATCAAATCATCTTTGTCTTGCTTATAACTCACGAAACAAACAAACAAGCCGACATGTAGAACAAGCTGGTAGGTCAAACAACTTTTTTTATATTACAATAAATAATCAAATTTCACACGCAAATTTGACTCTCTTTTTTTTTTTTTTTTATAGAAATGGTCGGTTTATAGATAAAGAAACAATATTCTGGGAAATGGGGTTTAAGAGATGGAATGAAAGATTGAAAGAGGTGAAGAAATTGAAGAAAAGTAACAAAATTTATAATCTTTTAAAGAAGAGCAACAATGGTGAAAATAAGTAAAAAGGCAGTTGCGCTGAGTTGGGGTCATGGGTGTTTTTGTATTTTGTAGAGAACATGTTTTTCCCGTTGTTTTTGTCGTTTCGTTTGCTACGCGCGAATATGAACTGTCGTTTTCCCGGCATATTTCCCTCCACCGAAATAAGCGGTCTTCTTTTCCATTTATTTTATAAAATAACCCTAAATTTTGTTTTATTTTTTCGAATTAATTGTATCATGTATTTTTTTAAAGAAATCACTAATTTTATTCAAAATAATAAACATCATTCATTACAATAAAGACAATCATAATCTTTAATTAAACACATAATTAAGACAATTTCATATAATTATTGAAACAAAACTAGCAACTTAAGATCACATAACAACCATACAAGGAAAGATTAAAATCTAACCAATAAAATTCGAACAAAGATAGATACAAACAAATATGATCGCATCGGTAAACGAACCACAAAAGGGGATCAAGTTACTAAAAGACCACCGACAAATCACAAATCAAACTTGAGTGACGTAAAAAATAATCCACGAACGCATAACGGGTATCCAAATCCAGAGGATCCAAAACATAAAAGATCAACAATATAACAGATAAGCGTCATTTTGATTAGTCATGGCAGTGTCTAAATCTTAGAAAATTATAAATGAAAACAACGGCAAAAAAACGTGTGAAAAAGTAGAAGAAAACGTATCATAAAGGCAGAGGAAAACGTGTCATACAAACAGACTTATTGAAAATAAAAAACAAGAGAAAATAAAAGGACAATAAAGAATACCGATTGTCGGCAACCAATATTAGAATTGGTTTCACCGCTGTTCAACAGAAGCAAAAAGAAAAAAAAAAGATAAACGACTTATCAATGAGAGAAAACTAACTATCGTATCAATTCAGTGTAACAGAAAATTTAATAAAAATGTCAAATTGATTTATTATAATTCAAATGGAATCAAATCAAAATTAAATGAACAAGCTAACATTTCAAAATCCATCAATAGTCAAATTAGAGATTAAATTGTCAAACTTATTAATTAGGAATATTCAATTACAAATCAAATTAGCAAAATACTCTAAAATGCAATTTTACACATTTTGTAGACTTTAATTATAAATATAAAAAGTTTTAAAGATAATTGGGTAAAATATACAAATGATCCTCAAACTATAAGACGTCACTTTATTAAACATGTGCTCTTTTCAAATTATGAATTTTGAGGAGGAAAACAAAATCCGGTTTAAACCTCAATTGATAAAGTTATGACTTAAAAGACTAAATCATAAAACTGAGTGTTTTTAGACTTTAAAATGTTTAGACTAAATCTTTAAACTGTTAATATAATTTGAATTATGATATTCTATCAGTCTAACCATTGATTCATGCATACGTAGTGCACATATGGTACAATTTAGATTTATCGTGCAACATGTGCACTCGTTTTAAAACTTAGTTCATGTATTTTAGATATGTTTAGTGTTATATTTAAATTTGATATTTAATGTTTAGATAGTAAGGAGAACAAAACTCAATTCAATTAAAAAATTTAATTTTATTTCGATTATCAAATTTGAGTCGAATTAATATTTTAAATTTTAAATATTCAAAAACCGATTAATAAATTGGTGAAATAGAAAAACAAATGAATAGTAACCAAAATAATCTTTAAATTTTTTGAAAATATGTAAAAAAAATCCATAAAATATAAAATACTAAAAATCCATAAATTTAATATATATATATATAATACTTATAACAATTCCTTAAAATTTCTAAAATATTCTCAAAATAATTTAAATAATACAATAATTAATTGAAATTCTATTAGGTCTATTCGATAAATAATTAAATTTTATAACCTACTTTATCATATTACATTTTCTTGTTTTTCTTTGAAAACAGTTTTCAACTTAAAATTTTGTCAAATTAATAATAAAATTTTAATTTGATATATTTAAATATTTTTAAATTTAACTCGAATAAATATATTTGATAGACTTAAATTTAATAAATTTGAATTAATTTTTTAAAATAAAATTTGAATGATAAAATAGAACCTATAAAAAATTCGTTTGGACTCGTTAACTACTCGTCGCAATCAAACAAATTACTAAAATGAAGGAAGGACTCGATTGAATGAATAATGATATTTGAAAGACTTAAAATAAATTGTATTGCCAAACTTAATCGTAAGCACTTGCTTTTTCTAAATTAGATCGTGCCCTTAGCTTAAAAGCATTCAATTATAATAAATATAAAATAATGAATATTTTACTTAATGGCAAGATAATAATTGTAATTTATTTTGAGAGAAGTAATGGGAATTTATAAATAAATAGATCACATACGTGTAAAATTTTATTAAATTTTAAGCACATGGATTCTGAATTTCAGCTCAAATCCCGAACTTCCACGTTATTTATTTTACAATCTTATAAATAAATATCCAATTTTAAAAAATAAATTACACCGGTAGTCGCTTAATTTATGGGGTGTTTACATTTTAGCCATTGAACTTTTGAAAATAACCGACGACAATGACTGTAATGAAAGTAAATTAATAGTTTAATAATTCTATAGAAAGTTTTAAAAGTTTAATGATCAAAATGAAAATATTCTAAAAGTTTAGGGACTAATAATGTAGTTTATCCTAAAAAGGTTTAATTACATTAAAAAATATAGTGCGATGAGAATATATCCGTTTGAGAAGTGATTTATATATATATATATATATATATATATATATATATATATTAAGTGTTTATCTTTCACATTTATTATTAGTAATCCACTAAGTTAGTGGAATTAGAGATGTGCACTAGACCCGAATTCGATTGATTTTGACTTAATTTAATTTTATTGGATCTTGTTTTTTTTTAAAAAGAATTTGGGTCAATTTTTTTAAGGATAATTTTGAGTCGGATCATGTCGTGTTCGAGTTTATGGTGAAAAATATCTGACCTAATCCAACCCGAAAAATAATGTAAGTATATCTTATATATTAAGAGATTATTGTAATAATGTCTCTATATATTATTGCTTCAAATAGATTCTTATTTTATCGAATACAATTAATATTTTTTATAAATATATTTATTTTGGGTCAGATCATATTGAATTTGGATTTTATAAATATATTTAGGGACTAAAATAAAATGCAAGGAAAGCAGAATTCCAAATAGCATATGCACCAATTTTAAATAAGGGCTAATCTGCAAGCTATATGAAATAGCATATCCAAAATACCAAAAACAGAAAGTCAATTAATAGCATAAATAAAGGATTAAATTAAATTGACTGAAATTAAAGGGAACGAATAAATAAAGGCATGAAATAAATGAGTATAAAAATAAATTATAGAATTTAAAGTGCTCGAAAATAAATACCAAAAATAAATGGGGTATAAATTAAAAGGAACATAAAATTAAGTATAACTGAAACATATGGATAAAATGAACAAATACAAAATAAAGGGACATAAATTAAAAGTGAAATAAAGGTATGATTACAAAGGTTAAGTGACTAAACCAAAATAAAATAAAATCACATGCTTACATAAGAAAAGCAAAACGAAAATAAGGACCAAACTGAAAGCAAACCAAAGTGAAGAGCCCACAAAGACAATAATCTCTATCCATCCAAAACAAACGAATCCTAAATAGATATGGATCGGATCATCAGATCACTTTACTAAGATAGAAATGTAAAAAAAAAATCAAAAAAAATCTCATTTCTCTCGTTTCAAAATTTTTGAATAAAAAACCAACTTAAAATAAATTCTATGAAACTCTCATTTGTTGTTCATAATGTTCTTTATTATTTATGTGAAAATATATTTTTTGATGAAATTTCATTATGTTATTTATTATGAAAAAAGTATGATTGTCGTTGTCAATAGTAAAAATAAAAGTCATACCTATTTTTCAAACAAAAATTTCTCTCATTTTAAATCAATCCTCATTTATCATCGAAATCCATTGGAGAGATTTAAATCGAAAAGAATTAACTTGAAATGCTTCTTTGGTCATCTGATTTCTCCCCTATGAAAAACTCCTCAAACCCTATTAGACCAACATTCAAGCATAGATAAAATAGCAAAAGTACCTCCAAAAGTTTATGATTCTATCAATCCTTTTCAATTTATAAAACTGTTTCATTTTTATATTATTTTATGCTCCAGCTTCGAAACTATTTCTTAATTTTATATATTTTTAAAGAAAATTCTATTCAACGACAATCTCCCATACAAAATGAAATAAGAGTAATTTAAAAATCAGATTTTTAACGAGTTGATACCATTGCTGATGCAAATACTGAAAAAGAAGATATTACTAATGAAGATGCTACTGACAAAAATATTGTTGATAGAAATGTTAACAACGAAGAGAAGATTACAATCATCACGTGTGTGTCCGTTATCATGTCTCTCATTGAGATTTAAGAATCTCTAATGTGGATGAATGGAGGATCATTGGCCTTCAATTTGAACAAGGTGATCACTAGCATGCATTGTTTTAAAAAAAAGGTGCCTAAGAAAAATCTTATCCAAAATTTGATCTTACATCAGGTTACATTCATATCTTTCAAAACAGATCAAAATTTCCATAGATTTCTAATCCATCGTAGCCAACAAAGCACCACCACTAGCTATTACACTTAATACTTGTATAAAACTATAAAGCACCAAACATTTTGTAATGTCCTCTAAATTTTAGTATTCATAGTGATATGATTCCAAATATATAATTAGTAACTTTTTTTATAATATGA